ACTTACTCACTTACTCACTTACTTACTCACTTACTCACTTACTCACTTACTCACTCACTTACTTACTCACTTACTCACTTACTCACTTTACATCCTGACTGCAGCCCCCTCCGTCCTCTCCTCTATGTCCCACCCTCTTATCTTTCTCCTCCTCTCCTCCTCTTTTCCTCAGAAACGGGAGCACACACACACACACACACACACACACACACACACCCCAACCCACCCTTGCAAATCAAGTCACATCAGAACTAAGTGCATTCCCCCTTCCACTGGGACCAGACAAGGCAGTCCCACTAGGGGAAAGTGATACAGAAGCAGGAATAGAGTCCTTTCAGAGACATCCCCTGGTCTACTTGTTAGGGAACCCACATGAAGACCAAGCTGCCCACCAGCTACATATGTGTAGAGGCCAAGGTCCAGTCCACATATGCCCTTTGGTTGGTGCTTCCGTCTCTGTGAGCTCCCATGGGCCTAGGTTAGTCGACTCTGTAGGTCTTCTTGTGGAGTTCTTTTCCCCTCTGGGTCCTTCTGTCCTTCCCCACACACACACTCTTCGTAAGACTCCCCAGGCTCCACCTAATGTTTAGCTGTGGGTCTCAGCATGTGTCAATCTGCTGATTGCTAGATATTTAATAATTTTGTACATGTTTTGATCATACTCACCCTTCCATCCCCCAACACTTCTCAGATCCACCCCCCTTCCCTACCCTCTCAACTCTGTGTCCACTAAGTCTCACCCTTGTCCAAGGAGATATGGGACATTGAAAGCTTCTGGGAGAGGGAGAGTCAGTTTTCCCTAGGAGTACAGCCTTTGGTGAGTCAATCACACTCCAAGGGAGGACCACTAATCCAAGAATCCCCCTTTGTTTCCAGTTCATTTTGTTCTCCACTCTTCAATGCAGCACTCTCCTGCCCCTGAAACACCCCACCTAACTTCCTCCTTGCTGAAATGTGACCTTCCTACCTCCACTAGAGAACTGGGCATATCTGCCTCCCAGTGTGTTTGCAGCTAGCCCCAAGTCAGGCAATAGTACTAGACAAGTAAAGGGCTTTGGGGAAGTAATTTGGCCTTAAGGATGGTGCCTTTATTGTAGGATTAGTGTCGTTTTAACATAACCTCAGAGAAAGAGACAGAGAAAGCAGCACATCTCCAACCCAACCGTGACATGGCCCACACTTCCGTTTCCCATCCCTCCCATAACCCCAACCTCAGTCAACCTCAGTCAACCCCACCCCGACTTCCAATCACTCCTCTAAATGAGATAACTCCCAGGGCTTTGGTGTAAATCCCAGCACTCAGGACAAGCAAAGACAAGGACAACACTGAGTCCTGTTCCAGTGGATTATTTCCTACTTCTCCCATCGCTGCAATAAAATGCTGGACAGATACAACTTCCTGAAGGAAAGGTCCATTTTGGCTGACGGTTCAAGGGTGAATATAGTCTATCGTGTTGGGAGAGCCCGGTCGGCGGCAGGAGTTTGATAGAGCTGGCCACACAGCACCGCAGCCCAGAAGCAGAAATGATGAATGCCAACGCTCAGCTCACTTCCTCCTTCCTATTCAGTCTTAGATCCCAGCCCAGAGAACGGTTAAAGGAGGTTTCCCACATCAGTTACTCCGTCACAGCAACCCCTCAAAGATTAGGAGACTGAGTCTGCAGTCCTGCGTGGCACACACAGCAATCTCTCCTCCTCACCAAGGCTGAGAACATCTTGGAAAAGGGGGTAGAAAGGACATAAAAGTCACAGGATGGAGGAATGCTAAGAAACGCTGTCTTCTGACATGGCATGGCTATCACACATTGATAAACTCAGCAGCTGTGGCTACCTGCAAAAGAGCAAGCTAGCCAAAATCCCAGCACAGATGGAACAGGCCCCACGCCTTATTAAGGAGACACTGACAGCTGATGGTTTCTGGGGAGAATCATTCTTTTTTGAAGGTGTGGCCACTGAGAGAATTACCACGGTCCAGGTAACGTTAGGATAGAATGTTAGGATCATTCGGCGGAGTTCTACATCGGGTTCATAAATCACGTCACGCAAAAGGTTCCACGTGAAAGGTTTTACTGTCGGGGGGAGGAAAGGCAGGAAAGAAAGGGGAGAGGAGAGGTGAACCCTCTTATAAAGTGACACAACAGATCCGCAGAACAAACAGGTGTTGCAGGTGGTCAGCAGGTGGCCTCGCAGATGCCTGATGTCCCGCTTGTCATGTCCCCTCACCCTGGCCTCCTTACGGATGCAAACACTGCATATATGTGGACATATAATAGACTTCACTTAATGGGCCTTTTAAAAAAGACTTTAGAAAAGAAACATGTTGGGGGTGTGGGGAAAGACGAAGGAGGAACCGGGAGATAGATGTGATCATGAAATTATCAAGAATAAAAGATTTTAAAATTAACTCCTTACAAACACTCTCACGGCTAACCATAAGGTAGACTATTCCCCGAAAGAGGCTTGTCTCTTAGGGGCTGGAGGGCTGTCGACAGCTGGCGT